TAATCATTCTTGGGAGACACGTTTGTCAGCGCAGATCGAGTATGTGCTCCATTCGCTGCTACTGGGTTCCGATTTCGATGTGTTATCACACACACACGCACGAAGTTTGTGGGCAATACAACTGACCGTATGTTTTTTGCTCAGAGCAGACGACGAACAGCTGTTTGTTATCGATATCTGACAGCTAGTTTAACACAGGGATGTTTACTTTTGCTTCTGATGGTAAATTTGTTTTCGAAAGGCTGGTTTCCATTTTACCCCCGGTCCACCAACACTAAGCCTATGGCGTCACTCGAGTGTGTCGGTTGATTTCAGCTATCTGTTTTGAAAGAAAGTACTGTTGTGTTATATATTTTTAACGGAATTTTCTGATTTAGAAGCGTAGAGTCGATTCCAAACAGCTGTGTTTACGTTTGGGCTATCGGAATACACACGGCTACACACAAGCTACTAATCACATTTGTTTTCCACTACAACGTCCCCTCTCCGTGAAGACTTGAGAAAAAATCCAATTAGGTTCGATCGTGTATGGGAGAGTACCCCATAAATACGAAGGGACTAGCGACAATTTTTTTTTTCTCATGCGTATTTCACACAACAGTCGTTTGTTTGGAAGTATCAAATCGAGCAGAATAGGAGAGTGCTGTAGTTCCCCACTGGGAGAGAAACCTTCCGTATCTCCCGACTTTGCCCTTGAATTCTGTGCGCACACCACAGTAATTCGTGCTCTTCATAAGGGACTTGTTCCTTTATCATTATTAGAAGGTTTTTGAAGAGGTTTCAGTAACGAGCTTCGGCTCCAATGTGATCTGTTATTCTATCCCAGCTTTTGCGTGGTCCTTGTTAGAGCAGTTAGACGTTCTGGGTTTCCAGTAGGGCGGCCACTTCGAAAGTGCGGGTATTTGGTTTCTTCCAGGGAGGTTAATTCGAACACTGAGTTATAAGTGACAAGAAACGTGGTTTTGGACCCACCGTAAGGAATGCATCTTTTTGCGGGTTGCTCTCAGGTGCTTGCTATATAGTTAATCTTGATGAGGAGTTGGCTCTCATGAAACTATAAGCGAACACTTCACTGCAGCACATTGCATACCTTGCTTTTTACCTCGAATTAAAGTTGTTCAGCTCTACAACTCACCATCCAAACCCTGTGCGTTATTTATACTATTTATCCCCATCATTATCAGCTTGCAGAACCACGTACTTGTCGTACAGTGGGTATAGCTGCCACAATTTCGTCCACCGATGATTTGAGGAGGTGCAGTAGGTAGCTACGCATTGGAGGCTAGAGCTGATATCTCAGTCGGCCAATCCGCAAGCATGGGACGAGGGTTCGAGCCTACTCATTATTGAAGGTGTGAAGTGCTTGCCAAATCGTGATTCAGAATTATTTGTTTGCATTACCACGGCATGAGATCCAAGGAGACCTATGTCACCTGTGTACTCTATATCTGTGAGCGGACGCCCCGGGAGAACTTTGACCCCGCAGGCATTAGAGGCTGATAGTGAGTCTTCCATAATCGTACCAATGACGCAGTTAAAGAGCAAAGGTGAAAGGGGTCAGCCTTGCCTGACAACGTTTGATGTATTGAACTCAAGCGAGAGCTTCCCGTAGACCTTCACACGTCCGCGGGAGTTGGCGTACAGCGTCTTAAGGAGTGTCAGGAATTTACAGGACACATTTGCTCCACAGACACTGCTATACTACCTGACTGTCCACAGAGTGAAAGGCAGCTTTCAAGTCAAACAAGACGACGATTGTTGGGCACTGGAAACAGTGGTGCTGTTCCAGAATCTGTCGGAGGGTGAAAGTATGGTCGGTGTATCTTCTTGCAGTACGGAACCCAGTTTGGTATTCACGGATCTGTCTCTTCCTGTGTTCAGTCAACCTTCGAAGGATTAGACCAGAGAGCACCTTCGATTCCACAGCTACCAGGCTGATGCGACGGTCGTTTTCACACCGCGCTTGCTTAGTCGTTTGAAAGATAGGAATGCCTGTCAACATGATCCATTCTGTAGGCAACTTCTCTTGGTTCCATATCGCACCTTTAAACCTTGGTAGATGTGTTACTAGAGTTTCGCCTTCTTTGGACTGGGCTGGATACAAACCGTGCAGTCCTGGTGCCTTCTTACGATTCAGTATGGAGATGTCGCACTTATTGCTTCTTCTGACGGTTGATCAGGGTTTACATTCCATTCGTCCGTATGCACTGCCCCCGGAGGCTCTGTTGCGGAAAACCAGCTAAACTTTCCTGCTGAACTCGTCCTTCTCAGTCTCAGAACTGCAGTCTGTTGGGGCATGCTGCTACGACAAATATCGTTTCCCACGTCGACGTGCGGCAATCTTAACTGAACCAGACATCCGCTCGTTGCAAAGGCG